GGGTGTGTCAGAGGCGGTGCGGTTGGCGCAGGATAGAGCAGGGTTTAGAGCTTTTGTGCATAGGGTCGCTATGAGTCGGAAACGACTCGACAGCACATAACAACAACAACAACATGAGCAATAGATGGGCAGTCTCGTCCTGTGCCGTTTACTGCCTCTGAAAACCTACTCGAGAGTTAGCTATGAGTTAGTTGGTTCTAACTTGATGGGATGTAACGCCTTCTGAGAACGAAGCTGGAGGTGATGGTTATCAGAGGCACCAACTTGCTCTCTGCAGAGCCAGACACTCTCTAGCTACTGCAAAACCCTGGCAGAGTCTGTGAAGAGAAATACTTTATTTTATAAGGAATTTCATCAAGGGACAACAGTTAAAGAATTTACTATTACGAGTCTTTGTGGGGAAGAATTTGGATGACACTTTTTCATCTGTTAGGGGATAAGGTGGCAAGAGAGGTGGAAACAGTGCCCGTTGTGTACCAGGGTGCTGGCCACTGTCACGGTGCCCATGCAGGGAAACCTTACTATAGCATCTAGTCCTCAGCAAAGCCACATGTGCAGCCTGCAAGACCCAATTTTAAGATAATCCAGAAAATATTTCTTGCTGGAGTGGAAAACAGACACTGAACTGCATGTGTTATTAGGGTGCCTCTCAGCAAAGAGCAGCAGAAGCCTATTTGAAAAGGTTTTCTGCTTCAAGACTGCAGAAAAATCCCAAGTTCTCTGTAAATTAGATGTCCAGCTAGATCACCCAAAGTGGCAAGTAGAAAAATGTGTAACCAGTTTCTGGCAATTGTGCAAAGGATGAAAGTATCTGAAATAACACTCGTTTTAGCCTATCAGCTCTGAAAATGGTGAAGATTGGGCCAAAAAGGTAAAAGTTCTTTGAACTGAAGGGGAAAACACCTGGAAACAGAGGCTTTCTCAGCTCCATTTGACTGCATGCAGGAGAAGTGCAGGTAGAAAGACACAGTGGGTCTCACTAAAAACTATTGCCTGCCTTTCAAGCTCAAGTTGAGGCCCCTCATCTCCAAGTTGCAATGGTAATAGACCTGGTGAATGGTGTTAAGCAGGCTTATGAAGAGATGCTCTTAATAAGATTTCTGGATATCAAAAAACTCTTAAAAACAACATGTTGATGAGTTGAGTGTAAACAAATGAGAAACAGGATTCCAATTTTCTTTTTTCCCCTCCCAAACTGGCTTCAGAATGAAAGAGGAAAACAGCCAGTTGTAAAAATAAGTTTGAGGTTTTGCTGAACCCAGAAATTCTGTTAGAGTAGTGGGAGATGTTTTTTGCCAAACCCCAAATACTATAGGGTTAAGCCTTCTTTCTAACCAATTAGATGATTGCCATTTTGTTCTGTCGACTTCTCAATTGTTTCATCTTTTTTTTTTAAAGCAAACAAAATAATTAGCCTTGCCTCAGGGTAATTTTGCTAATATTTCTATAATTAAATAATCCTCCCCTGGAATTGAAATCTGTCTTACTGTCTCTGTAGGTACAGTGACTACCAGTTGTTTCAAATACCCCTTGAGATTGGTCAGGTTAAGGACTCAATTTATGACCTTATAAATTAACACGAGGAAACCTACTCCATAATGTAGCAGACAATTCTATTTATAATGCTTAATTAATCCCCTCCAGTCGCTAACAGAACCGATTTGTGTCCTTTACTTTCAACCTCACCCAGATCCAAGTCTCCTGAGAATGAGACGTGTTAATATGTGAACACTGATAGCATTTGTTGGCCGTGTGGTCAAGCATTCAGTGGCTAACAGTCTGGATAGATTAACCCCTGAGAGCTCACTAATCAAATGTTCAGAAGGAAATGCCAAGTGTGCCTTCATCATAACCTGGAGAGGAGAGAGAGGTAGGGGAAAATGCCTGCTATATCTGCCCTGCCTGCAGACTCATGCTCTGAGTTTCTGGAAGTCTTGGTAAATGAAATGACCAAGAGAAAGAAAAGACAGGGTAATTAATGATGGGCAAGGTCCAATGGTGATTGATATTGTAAAACAATGCATGGGAATGATTGTATGAAACACAGTGTGAATGAGGAATAGTGTGAAACACAATGTAGAAGAACTTTATAAGCAAACTAATAAAAAAAAACACAACAACACATACATTTAAAAAAAACACCACAATAAAACTCCTTGAAGTGAGGCTATGGGAGGCCATCCCGGGTGGGTCTGCATCCCTGAGCTTATTCGTACACGCCTGCCTTCTCGTGGACTGATAGCAAAACCCAAATGTGATGCACAGGTCACTGCTGTTTTTAACTAAAAAGGTAGACAAGCAGAATAGAGTATTTGGAAAATTCCAAGTACCCCAACTACAGATGTGAACAGAGTAGCTTTCTTTACAGAGATGAGGTTCCTGGGAAGGGGGAAGGAAAGTACATGTACTGTTTGGATTTTTTAACAGACTAATGAAGCAGCATGACCTGAACTCAGAAATCCGGCCTGTGGTCTGACTTCTGGAAATACACATAGTGAGTATTATCAAATTTTAGGGCTTTTGGGGGGGTTTTAATGTATGCATGTCCTTATGAATCAAGAAAATAAATTTCTTTCTTTTGTGTCCTTTGCATTCAAGAATCGCTATAATATGATAACTCCTGGCTTCTCTTTGACCTCTTTGGCAAAACTTCTGTGCCTCAGTGTTCTTATCTGCCAGGTGGGATTCTTAATTGTACCTGCTTCACAGAATTGTAAGGCTTACATAGAGCGAACACTTTTGAAGGCTTTCAGCACCACCTGGAACATAGTGCAGTTGTTAACTGTTAATGTGCCATGCACTCCGAACTGACTTCTAGCTGATCCTGTGACAGGTTTCCAGAGGATAGAAATCACACGGGAGGGGATTGCTCGCCTTTGTCTTGAGAAGCAGCTGAAGGATTTGAACTACTTGCCTTTGGGGTAAGCAGGGCACTTCCTCACCCACTAGAAGGAGCTGTCTTTGCAACAGTTCCTACTATTGTCCTAAGAGCCCTGAGGGTGCTGTATATGAAAGAATTGGCTGTTAACCAAAACATTGACAGTCTGAACCCACCAGTTGCTCTGTGGGAGAAAGACATGCCAGTCTGCTTTTGTAAAGGTTTACAGTCTGAAAACCCTTGTGGGGTTGTTGCAGTCTGTCTTGTAGGGCTTCCTCCACCAGGCTACTTCTTTCCAGGTGCTGCTAGCATATCAGGCTGCCACCACTTCTCTCTTAAATAGCTTAGCTCTCAGTCCTCAGCTCTTCCAAAACATTCTACACAGGATCGCCACTTTAATTTTTTAAGTCTGCCTCTCAGCTTGTCTTTATTTTATTCAGGGGTTTCTTAATTTTATTTTCAAGTCCCCACCTCCATCTTCTGCTCTAATCTCTTATGTCCATATGTCCTTCCACCTTCTCATGACCTCTTATCTGTCTGTCTGTGCAAGCTATTTTTTACTATCTTTGTATCATTTATCACCTCTCCATACTTGTTCTGTGTATACTTGCGTGTTTGGTCTTT